GGGGGGGGGGGGGGGGGGGGGGGGGGGGTGGGGGGGGGGGGGGGGGGGGGGGGGTGGGGGGGGGGGGTGTGGGTCCCCTTTTCTCTCCAGAAAGAGAACAGCACAGTCGAACCTAGACAAAAACACGGAGTTTACAACTACTATGCCCTGTACAATATTGTAAAATTATCCTCGCTTTCCTCAAAAAATATCTTGTCCTTTTGCCTAAACTTAGCAAATTTGAAATTCTTATTGTACTGTACGTAATTATTATTGTTCATTTGATACAATTCTCCCCTATACTTTTTATAAAGTGTTAAGAAATATTTTTACTCTCATTTTACGTTCTAATTAATATTTACGACCCTTTTTTCTTCAAAAGGGATTTGTCCGACGTCCTTTCAGAAGTTATTTCATCCTATGGGTGAGATTGCCACAGCCTTTGCTGCGAAAAATATGAACCTCCAAATGATACTAGGCGGTGCTTCATCAACCACTATAGAAACGGTCGTCAATAAGACTAACGCTGAACTTTGGCAACAAATCTACATCTTAAGACCATTGAACCTTACTTCACAGTGGGTGAAACGTGCCGAGAATGCTGGTAAGTCTACCGAAATATATTTGAAATGCATCAGTTTATTTATAAGGCCACGTTCGCAACCAGTTGATCCGCGGACTAACTGGTCAACGGAACAACTGTGGCCAGACCCACTTGAAAGCGAGCCGAATATTAAATGCTGGAATGGTGCGCGTGGGATGCAGGAATCCATCGAAAAAGTGCGCACCATATTTGTTTGTGAACGCGACCTAAGTCGTGTCTGTTACACCAATACAAAGAGTAGTTCAGCATTATAAAGAATTACATATGTATACCCGTGGATCCTTTTCTCTTTCTTATGACCCTATTTACATTGAGCGTTACGCATATAGTTGAGGGGGGGGGGGGGGGATCTCTTTCACAAATTCGCTTCCATCTATTAAAACTAATTAAAATTAATCCGGCTGTGTCGAGTGACTGTCTTACGTAATGCCCGGAAAACAACGAATAATGACGATCATCGAAGTTGAAACTGATTTCTTCCACTTCAAGTTAACACGTCCATATTTATAACCATGTTGACGATTCTGAGACTGAATGCGATCTAAAGGACAGAGTTATAAAGACAACTGACATAAGGCATTATTATTATTATTACTTGTTTAACAGGACATTTGAGTAAAAAGGTAACATATATGTTTTTATTGCATTTTATAATATATCGTGAATAGGTGCAAATGCCATTGTGGTAACTGTAGACCGTCCGTACAAGGTCGTCACGTGGGCCGCAATGCGTGGACTTTTGAATATGGGCCATTGGTTGTTGCCCAATGCGCCCACTAACACATTCAAGAGCAGAGGCGCCGCCACGTGGGACGACATCACGTGGTTGAAAAGTATTACAAAGTTGCCGATTGTAATAAAAGGAGTGCTGAATGGTGGAGATGCATCAAATGCCGTGGAAAGAGGGGCCAGCGCTATTATAGTGTCTAATCACGGTGGAAGGTGAGAGTTGTGCAGGTGTTGTTTGTGTGAGAACATGTCTGCTGACGCGTGTGCCACTGCCTTTCTGTACTGTGATCTACTGTCTGTCTTTCTGTCTGTCGTTGGATAAGAGCAGAGCTTGGTATTAGTTCTAAATCTAATAAGATATGTTGAAATATTGTATTGGTATTCCATTTTAAGGGTGCTGGATGGTGTTCCAGCGACTCTGGAGGTTCTGCCTGAGGTGATTCAAGCCGTGAGAGGGCGCTGTGAAGTGTATCTAGACAGCGGTATTAGAACTGGCCGGGACGTTTTCACCGCCTTGGCTTTAGGTAGGCCAACACGAAATTCATGAGTTAACCCTCCCACTGACGAATTTGATATCTACAATGGTAACTCTGCCAGGTTATATCAGATCGAGTCGTCAATAGGAGTGCTAGTGCATGAATTTCGTGCTATAGATAGGCAGGAAACAACGCCCGATTCCATTTTCAGAGTTTATTTAATCGGTTGTGCTCTTAAAAAATACTGACGAAAAATTACACTCGCGTGCTGCGAGAAAAATTCAATTTCCAAGCAAAAGTCAACAGCAAGGACAATAACTAATGCATGTAGGTAGACCTATTAAAGTTTGACGTCTTTTTTTTTTTTTTTTTTTTTTTGTTGTAGGCCCCTCGTCTCTAAAACAAACAAACAAACAAAATGTATTTTGTAGGAATGTGCAAAGAAAAGCTGTTCAGATGTTATTTATTTCATTAAAACGATGTTCATAATGAAGTTCTAGCTTATGACACATTTGCGTAAGAACACAATTTTCATTAATTTGGTGAATGCATATAGGTTTAGTGTTATAATTAGTTGATAAATGTGGAATAAATCATTATTATCTCACGGGTTCATATCCAGCAGGCAATGCAGGTTGGTTTATGGAAGTCTATATCAATGCCATAATAGTTTGGAATACATCTACAGTATAACATGGTTGCCTCTTCCTCTTTGTATAAGCCTCTAATTTATTGGTAAATCTACAGGAGCTATTACAAAAATGTAAGTAGAATTATGATGTGTCCTGTTCGATAATTTGTATGGTATTTTTCATCATTTAGGTGCACGTGCTGTATTTGTTGGTCGACCAGTTTTGTACGGGTTGACCTACAATGGAGAGCAAGGGGTGACGGAAGTGCTGCGTCTACTCTCGAACGAATTTACGTCTGTCATGGCATTAACAGGTTCTTATGTCAAATGCATAACACTGATGTATCTTTAATTAACGCAAAAATGTGTCAAATCATCAAGAATTCATGTTGTTCGCGATAGATTGCGAACGCCTGGAAAGTTACTAAATCTTGATTTGATTCGTTATTTAATTTTTTTCATACTCTTGACTACAGTGAATTAGTGAGGAAGTATGTCCACTGCTGGTTTTTAATCTTGCTGTAAAACAGTTGATTGTGTTTTTACTTTCAAATTGCAGTATACCGATTTTTACAGGTGGGCCTTCATGTGCATGAAGTGATCATGGAAACAACTTATTAATCTTCATTTCTTAATTTTCACCAAGGTTGCACACGGCTGTCTGAAATCAACTCAAGCTACGTCACAAGGCACCAAGATTTCTACAGTGACCGATACTCGCCCAGTATTGCGGCCATACAGACCAGTGCCAGCATTCGCGTTGAAACATTTGCTAGAAGTCTCGCGGTTAAGGTCATCGTGTGCATTGCGGCATGGTATTGAGAACATCAGTTGGAATGTTCTGATCCACATTGTGTTAGTTGCGACGTGATGCTGAGCACAATACTTGGAACGTACTGGTCATTATTGTGGTAGTTGCGCTATTATGTCACTGAATACAACACTTGGGATGTGCTGTTCAATAGTCACTTCAAAAACGAGTGCTTTTATTTTAATGATTGAAAGTTGCCCCAATTTCTTTTTAGCTTAGTACTACCATGATTTAAACAGTGGGATTTATATTTCTTAAATTTATGTTTACATTCAAGCATGCAGGCACACACACACACACGAACACACACACACACACACACACAAAAGCCTTTGTAGGGATTTTCGATAAAAATCGATTAAAAATTGACTCCTGGTCCATTTATACATGCGTTTGTGTATGTAGATGCGGTCTGGAGAATTGGTTATTTAAATATTAAAACTTATAAAAGATCTTGGAGTTCTGCAGCAATCGTTTATTCAAAACAGGATTGAGGTCCTTCGTCGAAAATTGCTCGTTTGGAAAAAAAGTCAGAAGAAAGAAATTACGAGCTATAATTCTGTCCTGGCTTTACGGCATGCTCCAGGTTCCACTGGGTGATTCTTAAATTAAAATAAATATATACTGTCTCACTGCAGGGTCGCTAGTAGTCAGTAGTGTCTTACAAACGTATGTATACTAAAGCTGTAATATAAAAGGTTGCTAGATATCCACGTAACTTGAATCATGCGCAGTAATCAGCAGAGAAGCAAGAAAAACCTGAAGTCGACTGTTCAAAAATAAACACGTTTGGTAACAGGTAAATTGTAAGCCTGCCAATTGTTAGGGTTAGTTTGCTACTTGTGAAAGGTTTGACTCCTACTTGTGTTTTCTCGACGAACCGATCTGGATTTCGGGGAAACAGGAAGGATTTCGGATGTTCTTGAACTATAACTATCACGAAAATGAGGATAAGAGATAAGAATTTATTCAGCCGAAAAAAAAAATTAAAAATGGAAACCTTCGACAAATCCACCGTTTCATTACATGTTTCAGATCAATCTCAGTTTGTTTTCCACTGGTTTGTCCACAATCTGACTGCAAACAGACACCCATGTATGCAATTACAGGTAATCAAGTGAGAATACGATATCACAAATAGATGTATCATTATAGCTATTAGTATACAACATAACGACATTGTCACCGAAAAAGATAGAGATAAACAAGAAATGGAGCACAAGACATGTGGAAAAAGCATGGGCAATTAGGAACCGAAATGTTTTTATCAAATAAAAATTTCAGCAGCTGCTTTGTTTTCTTTAAAACGGCTCTGGAAGCTCTCCAATGAAAAAAAGGTGTTTAAACACTCCATTTTCTGATGTCTTTTTAATTACGAGCTACCATCAGAGTTATTGTTTCATAATATTTTATATTCGTATGATGGATTCAATTGCACTCAGTAATGGATACTTGTTTGCGTGCGCGTTCTAGTCTGTGTTATTACAATTTTTATACTTGCGTAAGCTTTTCTGAGCCAGTAGGTCACCCTGACTTTGATTTCCTCTCTTAGTTTTCATAAAGGTGTTGACAATACCTGGTAGTTCTGTTTTGTTTTGTAGTGCACAATGAAGACCTACTGACAAGAGAAAGGTTTTGACTAATATACTGCTCAAAAGAAGTTAAGGAACACATTGGAAATGCAGACATTTATAAAGGACGTTCACTGTCCAAAAACTGTGAACGTATAAATAATAATTGGCAATATCGCTTTGCATTTTGTTTCGACTTTACTATCAAGTTTTATTATGCAAATAAGCATGAAAACCAATGGACCCAAAATCTTATTTAAAGCTGTAAGAGCATTTTCTGTATCATGTGCGTCCAACTCTAGAATCCACACTTTATTCAGAACGCCTCCCCATGGAGCAATTAATCGACTGGCTAAGGCATGTGCCAATTAAAGTTCTCGCAGAGCGACTCTCACGATAGCTATTCACATGGGTGATTGTAAGCATACTATCTATTTATCAGAACCCCAATTTTTACCCGGGTATAACCCCAGGAAATTTGGAGTCCAAACAATTTACCCAAATTTTACCTATTTCAGCCTAAATTAATCATAATTGATATCTTTTATTAGTGCAATCATTTTTATTGCAACACAGTTTCTGTAGGAATGTCGGTCAATACAGAATGATGACGTAGTCTTAGAATTGCTCATTTCATAAACAGTAGGACATGGTTAAATCTTAAGCAACTTAAAGCAACTTAAATAACGGGTGGTCCCAAACTTCTTTTGAGCGGTAAATATTTAACCTGGGTCNGAGTGTTCTTGAACTAACTACCACGAGAATGACGATAAGACATAAGATAAGAATTTATTCAGACGAATAAATTTAAAAAATGGAACAGTGATCAAAATATTAATGTATGTTTATAGACACAGTCACTGTCTTTACACATAGTATTTGTATATTTCTGAGTATACGTCCTTGTATTCTCCCTGGTGTCATGATTATGCTTATAATTATAAACCATGGAGGGAGGCCTTTATTACATAACTGATGTGCATGAACAACAGTGTATGTATCTCGTCCTGAAAAATCGTCAAACTACCTGATTATATATAAAATGTTTAGAAACTAAATGTCCACATGTTATAGTAAAATGTATTCAATTGCCAACCTTCGACATATCCACCGTTTCATTACAGATTTCAGATCAACCTCAGTTTGTTTTTTCACTGGTTTGTCCACAATCTGACTGCAATCAGACAACCACGTATGCAATTACAGGTACTTAAGTGAGAATACGATATCACAAATAGCTATATCATTATAGCTATCAGTATTTTACATAACGGAATTGTCACCGAAAAAGATAGAAATAAACAAGAAATGGAGCACAAGAGATGTGGAAATAGCATGGGCAATTAAGAACTGAAGTGTTTTTATCAAATAAAAATTTCAGCAGCTGCTTTGTTTTCTTTAACACAGCTCAGGAAGCTCTCCAATGAAAAAAAGGTGTTTAAACACTCCATTTTCTGATGTCTTTTTAATTACCAGCTACCATCAGAGTTATTGTTTCATAATATTTTATATTCGTATGATGGATTCAATTGCACTCAGTAATGGATACTTGTTTGCGTGCGCGTTCTAGTCTGTGCTATTACAATTTTTATACTTGCGTAAGCTTTTCTGAGCCAGTAGGTCACCCTGACTTTGATTTCCTCTCTTAGTTTTCATAAAGGTGTTGACAATACCTGGTAGTTCTGTTTTGTTTTGTAGTGCACAATGAAGACCTACTGACAAGAGAAAAGTTTTGACTAATATACTGCTCAAAAGAAGTTAAGGAACACATTGGAAATGCAGACATTTATAAAGGACGTTCACTGTCCAAAAACTGTGAACGTATAAATAATAATTGGCAATATCGCTTTGCATTTTGTTTCGACTTTACTATCAAGTTTTATTATGCAAATAAGCATGAAAACCAATGGACTCAAAATCTTATTTAAAGCTGTAAGAGTCTTTTCTGTATCATGTGCGTCCAACTCTAGAATCCACACTTTATTCAGAACGACTCCCCATAGAGCAATTAATCGACTGGCTAAGGCATGTGCCAATTAAAGTTCTCGCAGAGCGACTCTCACGATAGCTATTCACATGGGTGATTGCAAGCATACTATCTATTTATCAGAACTCCAATTTTACCCGGGTATAACCCCAAGAAATTGGGAGTCCAAATAATTTTCCTAAATTTTACGTATTTCAGCCTAAATTAATCATAATTGATATATTTAATTAGTGCAATCATTTTTATTGCAACACAGTTTTTGTAGGAATGACGGTCAATACAGAATGATGATGCTGTCTAAGAATTGCTTATTTCATAAACAGTAGGACATGGTTAAATCTTAAGCAACTTAAATAACGGGTGGTCCAAAACTTCTTTTGAGCGGTATATATTTAACCTGGGTCCCACTGCGCGTGCAACCTCTTGGCAACCCCTTGACATGAATATGGATCTCATATGGAGAGTCTTTATCTCCTTAACTGAACCCATAAGTCCTAGCGTTTAATACAAATATTGTACGGTACGGATTCAAAGTAAATCTTTTTACTCGGGTATAGCCCCAGGAATTTGGGAGGCCAAATAATTTTTCCCAATTTTTACGTATTTTAGCCCCCCAAAAAAGAATCATAGTATTGATATCTTTAACTAGTGCATTTTATTATTGCATCACTATTAGATAAGAAATCTCGGTCGATACAGAATGACGAATTTGTCTGGGAATAGCTAATTTTATAAACAGTAGGCATGGTTCAATCTTAAGCATCTTAAATAGCGGGTGTTCAAAAAGTCATGTTGATACATGTAGCGGCAGATTGCTAACACATGGAAAGTTACTTAATCTTGATTTGATTCGTTATTTAATTTTTTTCACACTCTTGACTACAGGGAATTAGTGAGGAAGTATGTCCATTGCTGGTTTTTAATCTTGTTATAAAACAGTTGATGTGTTCTAACTTTCAAATTGCAGTATACCAATTTTTACAGGTGGGCCTTCATGTGCATGAAGTGATCATGGAAACAACTTATTAATCTTCATTTCTTAATTTTCACCCAGGTTGCACACGGCTGTCTGAAATCAACTCAAGCTACGTCACAAGGCACCAGGATTTCTACAGTGACCGATAGTCGCCCAGTATTGCGGCCATACAGACCAGTGCCAGCATTCGCGTTGAAACATTTGCCATAAGTCTCGCGGTTAAGGGCATCGTGTGCGTTGCGGCATGGTACTGAGAACATCAGTTGGAATGTTCTGATCCACATTGTGTTAGTTGCGACGTGATCCTGAGCACAATACTTGGAACGTGCTGGTCATTATTGTGGTAGTTGCGCTTTTATGTCACTGAACACAACACTTGGGATGTGCTGTTCAATAGTCACTTCAAAAATGAGTGCTTTTATTTTAATGATTGAAAGTTGCCCCAATTTCTTTTTAGCTTAGTACTACCATGATTTAAACAGTGGGATTTATATTTCTTAAATTTATTTTCATATTCAAGCATGCAGGCACACACACACACACACACACACGAACACACACAACAACACAAAAGCCTTTGTAGGGATTTTCGATAAAAATCGATTAAAAATTGACTCCTGGTCCATTTATACATGCGTTTGTGTATGTAGATGCGGTCTGGAGAATTGGTTATTTAAATATTAAAACTTATAAAAGATCTTGCAGTTCTGCAGCAATCGTTTATTCAAAACAGGATTGAGGTCCTTCGTCGAAAATTGCTCGTTTGGAAAAAAAGTCAGAAGAAAGAAATTTCGAGCTATAATTCTGTCCTGGCTTTACGGCATGCACCAGGTTCCACTGGGTGATTCTTAAATTAAAATAAATATATACTGTCTCACTGCAGGGTCGCTAGTAGTCAGTAGTGTCTTACAAACGTATGTATACTAAAGCTGTAATATAAAAGGTTGCTAGATATCCACGTAACTTGAATCATGCGCAGTAATCAGCAGAGAAGCAAGAAAAACCTGAAGTCGACTGTTCAAAAATAAACACGTTTGGTAACAGGTAAATTGTAAGCCTGCCAATTGTTAGGGTTAGTTTGCTACTTGTGAAAGGTTTGACTCCTACTTGTGTTTTCTCGACGAACCGATCTGGATTTCGGGGAAACAGGAAGGATTTCGGATGTTCTTGAACTATAACTATCACGAAAATGAGGATAAGAGATAAGAATTTATTCAGCCGAAAAAAAAAATTAAAAATGGAAACCTTCGACAAATCCACCGTTTCATTACATGTTTCAGATCAATCTCAGTTTGTTTTCCACTGGTTTGTCCACAATCTGACTGCAAACAGACACCCATGTATGCAATTACAGGTAATCAAGTGAGAATACGATATCACAAATAGATGTATCATTATAGCTATTAGTATACAACATAACGACATTGTCACCGAAAAAGATAGAGATAAACAAGAAATGGAGCACAAGACATGTGGAAAAAGCATGGGCAATTAGGAACCGAAATGTTTTTATCAAATAAAAATTTCAGCAGCTGCTTTGTTTTCTTTAAAACGGCTCTGGAAGCTCTCCAATGAAAAAAAGGTGTTTAAACACTCCATTTTCTGATGTCTTTTTAATTACGAGCTACCATCAGAGTTATTGTTTCATAATATTTTATATTCGTATGATGGATTCAATTGCACTCAGTAATGGATACTTGTTTGCGTGCGCGTTCTAGTCTGTGTTATTACAATTTTTATACTTGCGTAAGCTTTTCTGAGCCAGTAGGTCACCCTGACTTTGATTTCCTCTCTTAGTTTTCATAAAGGTGTTGACAATACCTGGTAGTTCTGTTTTGTTTTGTAGTGCACAATGAAGACCTACTGACAAGAGAAAGGTTTTGACTAATATACTGCTCAAAAGAAGTTAAGGAACACATTGGAAATGCAGACATTTATAAAGGACGTTCACTGTCCAAAAACTGTGAACGTATAAATAATAATTGGCAATATCGCTTTGCATTTTGTTTCGACTTTACTATCAAGTTTTATTATGCAAATAAGCATGAAAACCAATGGACCCAAAATCTTATTTAAAGCTGTAAGAGCATTTTCTGTATCATGTGCGTCCAACTCTAGAATCCACACTTTATTCAGAACGCCTCCCCATGGAGCAATTAATCGACTGGCTAAGGCATGTGCCAATTAAAGTTCTCGCAGAGCGACTCTCACGATAGCTATTCACATGGGTGATTGTAAGCATACTATCTATTTATCAGAACCCCAATTTTTACCCGGGTATAACCCCAGGAAATTTGGAGTCCAAACAATTTACCCAAATTTTACCTATTTCAGCCTAAATTAATCATAATTGATATCTTTTATTAGTGCAATCATTTTTATTGCAACACAGTTTCTGTAGGAATGTCGGTCAATACAGAATGATGACGTAGTCTTAGAATTGCTCATTTCATAAACAGTAGGACATGGTTAAATCTTAAGCAACTTAAAGCAACTTAAATAACGGGTGGTCCCAAACTTCTTTTGAGCGGTAAATATTTAACCTGGGTCCCACTGCGCGTGCAACCTCTTGGCAACCCCTTGACATGAATATGGATCTCATATGGAGAGTCGTTATCTCTCTTACTGAACCCATAAGTCCTAGCGTTTAATACAAAGATTGTACGGTACGGATTCAAAGTAAATCTTTTTACTCGGGTATAGCCCCAGGAATTTGGGAGGCCAAATAATTTTACCCAATTTTTACGTATTTTAGCCCCCCCAAAAAGAATCATAATATTAATATCTTTAACTAGTGCATTTTATTATTGTATCACTATTAGATAAGAAATCTCGGTCAATACAGAATGACGAATTTGTCTGGGAATAGCTTATTTTATAAACAGTAGGCATGGTTCAATCTTAAGCATCTTAAATAGCGGGTGTTCAAAAAGTCATGTTGATACATGTAGCGGGAGATTGCTAACACATGGAAACATACTAAATTTTGATTTGATTCGTTATTTAATTTTTTTCATACTCTTGACTTCAGTAAATTAGTGAGGAAGTATGTCCACTGCTGGTTTTTAATCTTGTTATAAAACAGTTGATTGTGTTTTTACTTTCAAATTGCAGTATACTGATTATTACAGGTGGGCCTTCATGTGCATGAAGTGATCATGGAAACAACTTATTAATCTTCATTTCTTAATTTTCACCCAGGTTGCACACGGCTGTCTGAAATCAACTCAAGCTACGTCACAAGGCACCAAGATTTCTACAGTGACCGATACTCGCCCAGTATTGCGGCCATACAGACCAGTGCCAGCATTCGCGTTGAAACATTTGCCATAAGTCTCGCGGTTAAGGTCATCGTGTGCGTTGCGGCATGGTACTGAGAACATCAGTTGGAATGTTCTGATCCACATTGTGTTAGTTGCGACGTGATCATGAGGACAGTACTTGGAAAGTGCTGGTCATTATTGTGGTAGTTGCGCTTTTATGTCACTGAACACAACGCTTGGGATGTGCTGTTCAATATTCACCTCAAAAACGAGTGGTTTTATTTTAATGGTTTACGAATGTTTAACATTGAAAGTGGCCCCAATTTCTTTCTAGCTTAGTATTACCATGATTTAAACAGTGGAATTATTATTAAATTTATTTTTATATTCAAGCATGCATGCGCGCACGCACGCACACGCACACACATACACACGACTTTGTAGGTTTTTTTTCGAAAAAAATTAACTCCTGGTCCATTTATACATGTGTTTGTGTATGTAGATGCGGTTTGGAGAATTGGTTATATTGAAATATTAAAACTCCTTATAAAGACTTTAAAAGAACTTGCAGTTCCGCAGCGACCGTTTATTTGAAAGAGGATCAAGGTCCTGCGTCAGAAATTGCTCGTTTGGAAAAATGTCAGGAGAAAGAAATTACGAGCTATAACTCTGTCCTGGCTTTGCGGCAGCTACCATGTGCCACTGGCTGATATTAAAATTAAAACAAGTGTATACTTCAAAAATAAACACGTTTGATAACAGGTAAATTGTAAGCCTGCCAATTGTTAGGGTTAGTTAGCAACTTGTGAAAGGTTTGAATCAATTTGGATTTTCGGGGAAATAGGAAGGAATTTGGGTGTTCTTGAACTAACTATCACAAAAATAAGGCTCAGAGATAAGAATTTATTCAGTCGAAAAAAAAAAATGGAACGTTTAACACCCTTCTGGCACAGTGATCAGAATATTAATGTATGTTTATAGACACAGTCACTGTCTTTACATACAGTATTTCTATATATCTGAGTATACGATAATGCTTATAATTATAAACCATGGAGGGAGGCCTTTATTACATAACTGAGGTGCCTGAACAACAGTGTATGTATCTCGTCCTGAAAAATCGTCAAACTACCTGATTATATATAAAAAGTTGAGAAACTAAATGGCCACATGTTATAGTAAAATGCATTCAATTGCCAACCTTCGACAAATACACCTTTTCATTATAGATTTCAGATCAATCTCAGTTTGTTTTCCACTGGTTTGTCCACAATCTGACTGCAGTCAGACAACCATGTATACAATTACAGGTGCTCAAGTGAGAATACGATATCACAAATAGCTGTATTATTATAGCTATTAGTATATTACATAACGACATTGTCACCGAAAAAGATAGAGATTAACAAGAAATGGAGGACAAGACGAAGAAATAACATGGGCAATTAAGAACTGAAGTGTTTTTATCGAATAAAAAATTCATCAGCTGCTTTGTTTTCTTTGAAACAGCTCACGAAGCTCTCCAATGAATGAAAAGTGTTTAAACACTCCATTTTCTGATGTCTTTTTAATAACCAGCTACCATCAGAGTTATTGTTTTATAATATTATTATATCCGTATGATGGATTAAATTGCACTCAGTAATGAAAACTTGTTTTTGTGCGTGTTCTACTGTGTACTATTACAAGTTTTATACGTACGTAAGCTTTTCTTAGCCAGTGGGTCACCCTCAGTTTGATTCCTCTCTTTTCTCAAACATGTTGACAATATCTGGCAGCTCTAATTTGTTTTGTAGCGCACAATCAAGACCTACTGAAAAGATTTAAACACACACACACACACACACACACACACAAAAGACTTTGTAGGTTTATTCGATTAAAAATCAATTTAAAATTGACCCCTGGTACATTTATACATGCGTTTGTGTATGTAGATGCGGTCTGGAGAATTGG